GGAAAGAGAATTTTTATTACTTTGCCTGCAAAGGAGGAGGATGGAGACTCCTGCCTGAGATGCCATCGTCCTAACAATAAGCAGAAATAGAGAGCTTTTAAAGGATGGGTTCTCAGCTTCAGGCAGTTACTGTTCAACTACAAGTTGATGATTGTGATCTATTGTCCCATCTCCTCTGAAGACAATCCCCTGACTTCCACCCAGGACCTCCTTTTACCAGGTCAGGGCTGAGCCATCCCCTTTAGCACAAATAACCAAAGACTTAACCTGCCCATCCCAACCACTGGCCTGAGGCAGGGATGCAGGCTTTAGTTCTCAAGAAGGAGTGGAGGATGTTTTAAAGAGAAAATATTTTTGCTGTTTTTTCAGGCCAGTCCCTCTGTTACATATTCTCCACTGTCAATATTTCCCTTCCATATCTATGGGAGGAGGTGTGACTACTCTGTTATACCTCTTCACTTACTCAGGGGCTGGTCTTCCTTTCTCAGGGCATAGAGACCCAGGAAGGGACTTTGAACAATGGGTGAAAAATTCTAAAAAGTTCTGGCTGATGCACTGGAACCCAGGCCCCTGCTTTCTTTCCTCCTTCTGGCCTGAGACAGTCAAAGGGACATTTTTGGCTCCAACCACTAGGTGCACCACCTACATTGGCTATTTTGTTTGTTTGTTTTTTTATTTCAGCATATTATGGGGGTACAGATGATTAGGTTACGTATAATGCCCTTGCCCCCTGCCCAAGTCCAAGCTTCAAGTGTGTCCATTCCCCGGGAGGTGCACATCGTACTGATTGTTTGTGCATATGCCCGTCCCCTCCTCCCCCCTCCCCCTGCCCAACATCCAATACATGTTATTCTTATATGTGCACTTAAATGTTGATCAGCTAATACCAATTTGCTGGTGAATACATGTGGTGCTTGTTTTTCCATTCTTGGGATACCTCGCTAAGTAGAATGTGTTGAGCACTTTCCAGGAGAATACAAGAGGTGCTATATCACCATTGTTTCTTAAAGCTGAATAGTACTCCATGGTATACATATACCACAGTTTATTAATCCA